TGAAATGTATATCCAGTAAAAATACAAATATCCTAAATGGCAACCCTCCGAAATATTGGCAACCCAAATTAATCATCCACCAATCATTTTTAACTAAACCACTTGAATTACACTAGAAAAAAGCTATATTAATCTCACAGATATAAATAGTGGGACCTTTTTCGTCCCAGGTTAGTTTTTCTAACTCTATACCAAGCTCTATACTAACCTAACATAACCAAAGTTTAATTCACCACCACTTCTACTGCTACTAATATATTGCTCTAAAAACTAGTGGTAGGAATTAACGGGAAAGGTCCAAATAGTGTCCACCCACAAATCCATTAATCCAATCCTATGTTTCCATTAAGTCAAAATCTCAGGGATAATATTTCTACTAAGGAGTTGTAAACTCAACGGACTGTATTAATTAAGTTAATCATTAAATTAATCCGAATATTTATATTACCGTAGCCCGACTAAATCACTAATATCTCTAAGAACTTATATCCAGGAAAGATGGAAATCTAAACAACAGTATTAAAACCTCTGAACTCAATGGAAGAAATGAATACTTTTTACCAAAGATTAAAATATAAAGCAAGACACCTTATCCAAACCCAGCAAAAGACACAATACAAAAAATTTATATATAAATATACATTTAAATCGAAAAAGTTAAATCTTATTTAAGGATAGATTTATAAAAGTATATTTCAACAATGGTTGACATCAGCTGTTTCGCTATGAAGGTGCTTCATTATTTCTTTTCATGCGCCCTAATTGTGCAATTGTCATTAAGACTGCTTCAAAAGTACATCCCACCCTTCACGAACACATTCACTTGATTTTTGCAACTTTTATGTGTCATTGTCATATTTTTATAGTGAGTTTATTCGGCAAGATATTAAGTTTGAGATATAATTTTTAGTTTTTACAAGTTGCTATTTGTATTTGTCCAAACTGTTAGTTTACCCGTTACATCGATCTACCTTGTAAAAACAATTTTGTTAGTATAACTCTGAAACATATATGATCTATGAATCTTAACTATTATTATAGTAACTATATTGATAGTGTAATAAGATTGTTTAAATAATATAATATTAATTAAAATATTTAAAATTTTTTTTACAATTTATACACGGGTTTTCATTTAAGTTTGTATACTTTTTGAGGATTTAATGTATGATTGTGAAACATTTCAGTTGTGGAAACTTTGTTCTTTGTTATTTGAATGTAAAATGATTTTTATGAAAGAATTCATAAAATATGTTATTGACGTTTGAATTTTTTTTTCTATTGCAGAATCATATATGGTTGATGTTAGCAGATACTTTATTTATTCAATTCTAAAAAAATTACATTTTATTACTAACAATATTTTCCAATACTATGATAACTTAGTGTTGATGAACTATCTTTAACTGTTATTATTGGCAAAACAATCTTTAGTGTGAGAGTGTCCTTGATCAACTTTAAAATGAATGTTTTTTTAGAAATAATTTTAAAACTAGCATCCAAAATTTTGTGTAGAGGAATGCAGGCTTTACATATTCTATCCACCTTCCTCATTTATATCTGCTTTAGAAAATATTAGGATTACAAAGGTGAAAATACCTACACAGTTGAAGAATTTTGAACGTAATTCACCCATCGGGTTTCATCAGTTGAAATTAATTATTAAACCTGAAGTTATTTCTTGTCAATTAACTTTGTACGTTTATTTTTGCATACATATTTACTATTTTGTTGTATCCATGACGTATGGAAACAGCTGATCCATTTGCAATTATTGAGTGTTGCCAATTTTTCTACCGATCAAGACTTTACCTGGCTTTTTTGTGCACTTTTTAGGATTTTAGGTTGGGAATTTGGTGTTTGGGCGAGTACAAGGAACATAAGGTGTAAGTGGTTTGTTGACAAAAGTTTAACATTTGTAAGGCAAAGATAAGTTGTACAAAAGCCCCAATTTTCACAAATAACATTTTAGGTAACTGTAGGGAAATAGATTTTTTCACATGTTTGGTACCCCTTTTGTGATTATTCTAAAACTTAAAGGACATCTAAAGCTTTCCGATTTTAAATTTTCAACACAACCTGTAAACATATATTTACTATTATAATTTTGCTTGTTGTCATCATTAAACTGAACTTGTAATTATTATTGCATGTATTGAATAACTCATTATTTTAATCTTAGGCCTAATTGTAGGCTCTATAAAGATTGGAAATGGCATTTCCATAAATAAATTAACATACCAAGTAACTTTGGACGTATTGCAACGTAAACGGAGTCAAAAATATATTCGCGTTATTATCATTTTTTGATGTTTTGTTCATTTAAACATCTTGATTTACTTGTAAAATCGTAGGTATTTTATATGCGTTTTGCAAATACCTCTAATAATTAGTCTAAATTATGCAAAATAAATTACTCTATGCAAAATAAATAAGAACAACGTTACAGTTTTTTAGCTCATGTTATATTTACTTATATCTTTCTTCCCCGAAACGAAACGGAATTAATTATGGATACTTAGAGTCCCTTTTGCTTAGGATGAATAGGATATCCTTCCATTAGGATGGGATATGCATTAGGATACCTTTTTAAATAGGGTACCTTTTGCAGCCATTTGTAAAATTTGAAATAAGTTTGATTTTTTTCTTAATGAAGATCAATTTTACGATGTCAGTTTCAGCCTTTCGATTGATATCAGACAAACAATTGCTACAAATTAGTTGTTTGATTTGGTAGCTATACTTTCAATTGTTTTTAACAATAGATTTTCCTCTGATATTTCAAATAGTAATGCCCAATTTGTAAAATATACTATTAAACACAGCAAAACCTGAAGACTAAGTGAATTCCTATTTGTAAGACTGGATTTTTACTAAAATATTTACTTGAATTAGTCAGATTAATTCCCTTTTTAAATAACATTAGATTTGGCGAGTACTTCGTTTGCTGCTAGAGGGAAAAAGAATTGTTTTTGGAAAAATATTAATATTATTGTATGAAATATATAGATTTATCAAATTTGATCAAAATACACCCATAAACAAGCAAACCACAACAGTTTACTTTTTCTCCAGAAGAATAACATTTGAATTTTTAATATACAGTTTTTAAGAAACCATTAACCCTACTACCAATTCACAAAATAAAAATTATTTTATTTTTTGAGCTGTTTACGACGATTTGAATACAAATAAAAATGTTTAAGTTTAAGGGGAAAAACACTAATTTTTTTGAACATGTTCAAAACACCATAAAACCCCGTTCCCATAGCCCGATCCTGCTGGGTTTTGAACCTATTTAAATGTATCCAGCCCTACATTTTGCAAAATTTCGTTAAAATTGGACTAATATATAAATTTCAACGAATAGTGTTTTTGGCCTCTGACATCAAAATGAAAAAGTAAATTGGTACTGGGTCTAGGTCTTACCATGAGACCTACGGTAATAGCTCATTAAAAACATTCATTATACACTAACGTTACCAATAGAAATAAAGACACACAAAGAGACTTTCTATTTTAAAACCACACGAGAAGTCTACTATTCAAAGTTAACGTCAAATCACACTTTAAAAGTTTCTTTACTTGATTTACAAGAATAATAAATCAATTAGTCAGTGTTATCAATAGTATCTTGTATGGTCTTGGGTTTACAGTACCTACCTCCTTAACTCCTGGTGATTATTTAAATAAAACTAGTATTAACTGTTTTTAAAATGCATTAATATAAATATATTTAATTAAAAAAATTCATAACGTAAATCTTTACTTTTTTATTTTCAGTTTTTACATTTTTTTAATAGTTTGGAATATTATATCTAATAATTTAAATGCCTAATATATCCATCATTACAGTTTTAAATAATTTTGTAGATTTATTTTTCTGTCAGCAAAATTTATTATTTTGTATCTCTCATAAAAATGAAATTACAATGCGAGTTCACACCTGGTACTCTTACGCTTGACCGCTGACTGTTCCAATTATGATCCAATTGAATCCAAGTGAGTGATCCAATTTTAGGTTATATTGTACTAAAAGAACTTTAAAACACCAATTCATCCATATATTATTACAAAATATGTCTCCACTGCTGAAACTATGTTTAGATTTATGTGCTAAACATATGTTCTAGATTACTACGACTCATGTTAGGCATGTTGAATTAATTGCAACAATTAGAGTAATCATAAACACCTTTCGATTACTAGTTTTCACTTACAAACCGATATTTTCGAAGGTTTAATGTTCTTTAGAATATTATGGAGCTTAGTTAGGCCTACTTTGATTTTACAAAAGATTTAAATAGTCTTGTACAGGTCTACTGCAGATTTATTGAAGATTTGATTTTTGATGTGGATTTATTTTATTTTTTTATTAGGATCATGCACGATTGAACTTTTAATTTTCTGGTTCTCCATATTTATGGATATGCATATTACGGAACTTCTCAGAATATTTACGGATCATAAATAATCTTTTGATCTGAATCATTTTGTTTATTGTAAATTTAAACATGACATTCTTTTTGTTTTTGTTTGGCTTCCACATAGTTTCTCTGTATGGTTTTCTTTACATATTGGCCAATTTTGTGTACTAATATTGCTGTTTTAGGTTTCTTTCTTATTTAAATACAGGATCATAATTTAGATCTTGAAACGTCGTATTTTACTTAACGTGGTTGAAAACGTCCGCAAAGATTTCTTAAATACGAGTAACATGGCATTATCTCCCTCTAATTTAGTTTAGTAGACAAATTGCATCACACTTTATTGATAAACGATTTTTACATAATTGTGACAGTTTAGTTCTAATGCACGTGTTCAAAATTGTAATGACATTAGCGTTTTAACTTTTTGAAAAGGTGAAAATCAAGTTACTTTCCAATGCCAAGCTGTTATTTGAAAGGATGATTAATTACTATAAAATAACACGTACAAGTAGATCTTCGGATATACTGTAATTATCTCTACTATTAGGTATATGTTTTTATAAGACTCACCATGCATTGGACCCATGACCACCATGACCACGATCATCAGCAGGATGACCCGCTTGCGACGGTTGTTGGCGCCCTCCTTGAATGCTACGTCCAGAGTATCCTTTATGTGCTGCATATCAAAGAAGTCTTTCAGAAAGCCAAGCCCTTTGAACACTCTCTTCTCCAGTGGCTTGCCTACACCTCCGCCCCCATTCTGGATCTTGGGCTTTTCTGTTATAATGACGGGCTCGGAGGGGTAAACGTACTGCACGGAGGGTCCACGGGGCTCCTCGATCCGCAGAAGACCATAGGTAAAGGAGAAGACGTAGATGCACGCGGCCAAAGAGAACACGCCGTAGAATCCGATCTCCTTGTAGAGTACTCCAGAGAGTGCGGTGCCTATGGGGATTCCGACGGAGCAGAAGACGTTGACGACGCCGATCCTGAGGGTGCGGTTCTCGGTGGTGGTGATGTCACCGATATAGCTGAAGATGGCCATGAACATCGTCATCCAGCCGCCGGTGATGGCTGGAAACAGCGCCTCGGTAGCACCGCATACCTCCATGGGCAGCTCGTAGAAGAAGTAAGTACACAGGATGAGGCCGATACTGGTGAGGAACTCGCCGACTATGGGCATCAACATACAGGGCTTCCTTCGCCGGCGACGGTCCGACCAGGAGCCGAGGAACATGATAAGCACCGCAGGCACGGAGCTCTGCAGGAGAGTTTTCCAGATGGACATACCGGCTACCAGCTGTTGGACCTGCATCTCCTCCATGGTATAGTTTGCCGTCTGACGCGCCTCCAATGCGTCGCAGACTTCGTCCGGGTAGCGCAGGTTCACCCGACAGGCCTTCTCCAGGTTCAAGTTCTGGGTGGCCAAGGAGGCCAGCACACTAGGAATCACGTAGCAGGCCAACATCGGCTCCACTGTGGTGTTCTGGAACAGATACCTAGCCTTTTCCCGCACTCCCATCTCCGACCATTTCGCCTCCTCCGGTTTCTTCTTTTCCGTCATTTTTGAAATTTTATATCTCAGGTGGACGCTTAGAAATTAAACATAACTAAATGTAATAAATAGAAATACTGATGGAATACTGTACACGGAACTGTTACCTCTGACACCGGTTCACGGGTTCATGACGATCGCGCGCGAGCGAGTGTCAGAGTGGCAATGGCAAGTGGCAGAGCGGTATCAGCTGGTGAAGCTACAAGTGACAGCTGATCCCCACTCCTCCCCACCACTCCCCTGCCCTACACGGTGGACGTACTACACACTGTGGTCTTGCCTTGACCTAGAGCTGCAGGAAGACGCTAATACCGTGATAAGAGGCAACGGAGACGCTCCCCCATCCTCCTGTGTCAGAATCTCCAACAAACTACATTAACTTAATTACCAGTTTAGGAGTAGAAAAGCTTGATGAAATGAAATCAGAAAATAATATAAAACTCGAAACCAGATAAAGCATCCGGCCTATCGAATGTGTAGAAAAACTTATTAACAATGCAAAGTGGATTATTCAGTTCACCGATTTATCTATTATTTTTTAGATCGACAATCTCAATTTTTTGGTCGGGGTTGAAAAGATTGTAAACTATAAAAACTTATCAAAATCGTTAAATATCGGTTTTGAGAAATCTTGACAGTCCAATTCATGGGCTTACCACCACTTTCTAAGTTCATAAAACAGAAAAGTTCTTTCACTTAATCCTTCAGGAAAGTTTGAGGGTTTCTAATTTTGTGTAAAATGTGTCAGAGATTAGTAGAAAGTAAAAATGTCACATGCACATCTAACTGTCCAATGTTAAGCTGTTTACTTTACCCTGGCTGGGACTAGCAAACAAAACAGTAGCACCTCTTAGTTTGTATTTCTATACTTCTGGATCTAAATAGAAAAGTGAAATGATTTCACAGACATGACTGATAAAAATCGTAAAACAGGAGTTTGAAATATATAGTAGCCTATACTCTTTGTTCAGAGTTCATTTTTGTTGATAGTATATTTATATTGATGTAGGGTTACACTAAATAGTTACAGAATGAAGTTCAAAAAACAGTAAATTTAAAATTTCAAGGTTGTTCTTATGGACAACAAGTAAACTGTTGTAGTTTCTTGTTTGTGGATATATTTTGATAAAATTTGACGATGTTTATTATTTCATACTTATCTATTGACATTTTTCTAAACGCATACGTTATTACATTCCCTGTAGCAGTCACCCTACTCATTAAAACTAATTTGATGTAAAAGGGAAGAAATCTGACATTCTAAATGAAATATTAAAGTGAAAATCCAACCAGGCAAATGGAAATTCGCTTAGACTGCAGGTTTGCTGTGGCGGGGGTATGAATTGTTATTCATCAGGATATTTTGCTGCAGACGGTATTTTACCACAGTTTTATCTTTCATAATTTCAGTTACATCTGGTTTGTAGTACTTTCTTTTAAATGCATTTTCATTTAATTGTTAGTGACTCTTCGCCAGCGGCATTTCATGAAGGAATGAATGACACTTTTTAATGATGACGGTTTAAGGCCATCAAATTTAAAACACGATTACGAAAGTCAGCTGTTAGGGTACCGAAATATTGGTTTAGTTTTTTAAAAATTTATTGTATAATGAAAAATGCTACATAGCTCCACAAAGCATAGGAGGTTTTCTAAATTGTTTATGAGGAATATTCACGTGTAACGGATTCCAAAACGGCGAACGAGTCAATTGGACTGGGTCGTTAGCGGTTAAAACCACAAAAGACTGCGATCTCTTGAATTTGTGTTGGAAGTTAAACTAAACGAGGTAAACCAAGAGACGAAGTCAAATAACATTTATAAGAGCGTCTTCAAACCCGATGTACTTCTTTACTATTCATCACTTCTTCATTACTTCAAGATTGGAGAAAGATACGCTCAAGTTCGTTTCCTGTACATTAAGAAAAGTGTTTATATTATTTTTGACAACTTGACGAAATTTTACTCATGAGTGTAATATAGAATTATTGTGATCTAAAATAACTAATTGTTTATTCACTAATATGACATAAGCCAATTAGAAGTTCACGTAAGTAATACATTCAATGGGGTTAAGCTTGTACCTTAATCCTATGGAGAAATATGACATGATATTGATTGAAAAATATAAATGTAATAAAAGAGCACACAGTAAAGAAAGTCCGTCTACGGTAGACGGAATTGATCAAGTAAGATTTTGTTGGATTGGTATCCAATAGTTTGCCTTAAAATTTGGAGTTAACGAATTTACAAAAAAAACTAGTTGCAAATTTGAGTTTCAGTTCAAACGAAAAAACAGAGTTGTCAGTTGTATGGTTCAGGACAGATTTTTGGAGCAAATCCAGACGATGTTCAACAAGGCTTCTGAGTTTGAGGGTGTTTGGATTTCAATGAGAAACTTAGGAGCTCCTAGATTGAGCAGATGACACCTCATCATGTCCACGATGATGATGTCGGGGACAATCCCTCTCAACCTGCTCACCGTTGAGAGACGACTACAGTATCTGCATGCGTGCTCCCGAGCTGGGGAAATAAAAATCAGTTGACCGTGAGAGATACAACCCTGCAAGTGTAGAAGAGAAGGCATGGCAAGTAAATGGAGGAGCGCTGGGTGCACCACCTCATAGAGAATCAGGCTTTTTGGGTGATGAAACTGTATGACTTTGCTATACATGTATTTTGTGTTGAATGGATTAGATTTTATTTGAACCGTGACCAATAGGAGATCGAATTCTTGTGTCAACTTCCAAAGAGTCATTGTTACTTTAGAAAGTAACTTTATTTGTTGCGGAATTATAGGTTATCAAGGAGGAAGAAAGACGACACCAATTGGTAGATAGTTGCTTCTTACGTCCAAAGCGAGTTGAGGGTCGTGTGGGTGATCTCCAGAGCCCAATGGGGTGGAAGGAGTGGAAGCGGAGCGGATTGCGAAGAAGCTATTTCAGGGGCCATCCACTCCGCTCCCAGGGAAACAGTGCCATTAAATTACCTAAGACAATAGGAGAATTGACTCCAAGTGGGGTGGTGCCTTCTCCTCGGTGCTATAACCACTAGGGGTGAACAGAGCTCAAGTACCATTAAATTACCTAAGACAATAGGAGAATTGACTCCGAGTGGGGTGGTGCCTTCTCCTCGGTGCTATAGCCACTAGGGGTGAACAGAGCTCAAGTACCATTAAATTACCTAAGACAATAGGAGAATTGACTCCGAGTGGGGTGGTGCCTTCTCCTCGGTGCTATAGCCACTAGGGGTGAACAGAGCTCAAGTACCATTAAATTACCTAAGACAATAGGAGAATTGACTCCGAGTGGGGTGGTGCCTTCTCCTCGGTGCTATAGCCACTAGGGGTGAACAGAGCTCAAGTACCATTAAATTACTTAAGACAATAGGAGAATTGACTCCGAGTGGGGTGGTGCCTTCTCCCCGGTGCTATAGCCACTAGGGGTGAACAGAGCTCAATAATAAAAGCTATTCTGAAGATAGGGCAAAGATATATCCACCTGCTATTCCACGAAATTTTATTCAATTTGATTAAAAACTTTCTAATCTTCATTTAAGACTACAAACACAACATTTTCACACAGCTAACTCATTGAAATACAACAAGAAATAGATTGAACTTCGTCTATACCCAGAGTAGGTAACATAATAGAGCTTTCAAACTCATTATAGCACATCAATTGTACCGAAACCTTTCAAATCATATAATTTTACATGAAATACGAATATAAATATAAATGGAATACAATGTATGTATTTTAATGAGTTGTAAGAAAGGAAACGTGATGAATTGGAAGAATTGTATATTAAAATGGAACAATATGTAAAAATAGAAATTAGCTAATTAATGAACAAGTCAAATTTGTCATTGTACCTCATGATTAAATAGCAATAAGCAATGAATCATAATATGACTTTACACTTTATTATAACATGTTATAGAATCAAAAACAATCGAAAACAGTTAATTACTTCGACACTATCGCTTATATCGATTAACAAGGAAAGTCTATAGCACTCGATTTAACCCATAGTCGCATGTCACAGTTTTTTATTAAATTTGTATGTTTTTCAATGTTTTGAATTAAATTTTCAGGGCTATGACAATTTGTTATTTGGCACTAAATTACCCTAAACTCTACCCCAAGATTAGTAAATTACCCTAAAAGGGATAATTACCCTGAAAGTGGCAACACTGATGCTGACGTATTGTGGTCGGTAGTGAAGAACGTAGTCTAGCTACTAACCGCTAGGAAGCACCACTGTACAAGTGTACAGTGCAACCAGTGCCAATGACGTACAATTCAACTTGGGATCTGCTTCATAATATATAATAACATTTTTTCAAACAAATCAAAATGAAAATAATAATTTTTCTTAGGTACCTTCAAAATATATTACAGATTTTTTTTGTAAGGTGGAGGTATTTTTTTTTATAAGCATGATCTCACCTTACAAATAATTAACTTGTTCAAAGTCTAAATACATTTTGTTTGAATCGGGATTCATAAAATTTTTACCATTCTGAATTTGTGATCAAGCATACCGACATGTATCTGTTGTTTCATTCAAACTGGCTTTTAGGCACACAATGAGGTTACTAAGGTGTTTCAGATAATTCGTATCAATGTTGCACTTACGGGAAGAGCTGATGACAATATTGGTGATTCATAATGTCTTTGAAGTATCTGATGATTTGTTGACAGGCAAATCTCATACCTTTGAAGCGTGATCGAAATATCTGTTTTTAGTTCTTATGCGTTTATATTCGTTTTCTTTCTGCAAAAGAATGCAAAATATATGTTTCGGGTAAAAATGTTGCGGCATTATGGCCACTCTCGATTTCGTATTATTATTTTCATTTTCCAAGCACTTGATCGATTTCATAAGCGCAATGAAATCGCTTTCTATAATAATTTCTCCCTCCTTCGTCGTCGGTGTAAGGACATCTCAAGAGCGTGCTATGCTAACTACATATATGTAGTGGAGTCTAGTATTCTTACAAATCCCCGTGCCTTCTGGAGTCATGTAAAGTCTACCGGGAAATCTTCGGGGATGCCACATCTGGATGGATATTTTACCGAGGATGATCAGGAAAAATGTGAACTATTTGCGAAGCATCTGGGATCGGTTTACTCTACTGCATCAGACACAACCCCCTCTTTTGACTTTTACTCAGGGAATACCATCTGCAGTG